ATGCGCAGTGAGCGTCAAATTCCCAAACCGACTAAGGCGGGAACCGAAAACCACGTCAGCATCCAAAGGATTTTGTGGGTCAGTAGTGAAAATGCGATTCCCAGGTGGCAAATCAAAAGAAAATGAGGCGTTCACCGAGAGCTTGGACCCAAAGTCAGAGGTAGCAATCCATGCCGCGAAAATGGGACACACCTTCAACTTTAAGACCGCTGAGATTGTGGGCCGGGGCGATGAGCATACGTCAAGGCAGGTACACGAAGCTTGGATGTCCACCAAATTGCGCTGTCAACCGCCACATCAATTTGTCTCTCCCCTACCTGACTTTACGAACCTTCTTAACGGGGGACAGTCAGGGCGCCAGACAATCAGGGCCGTCAACCATCTCCGCGGCCGACGAGGGCGGGGGCGATTCAGGTCAGGGTGACATGCTGGTCGGAGGCAGTCACACAGGAGCCATTGGCGGGCCACGCATCAAACAAAGTGCGCCATATAAGGAGAGCTGGGCGCATGACTTCCCAGTCTGAAGATGTGCAGACGAAACAACTACTTGAAACGTCAGACCTCCAATACACCTCGCCCGGTGAACGCCTCATTTTCTTTTGATTTTGTGGGTTTTCATGAGTGCACACTACCTCAATATGACCATGATTTGACTCCTGGTGAATTGAGAAGGACTTCCAACACTAAGAAAGGCCGGATTTCGGTCCCAGTCAGAAAGAGTTATTTAAAGGATTTGGGGTTTTGAAGGACTTCGAAGTCTGTTAATGTTCATCAGAGATGTGACGCTAAAAAAGTTCATACTATAATTTAAAATATTTAAAATAAAAGATAGTTTTTGTCCGAAATCCGGAATATGGGGGCCAAAGGAAAATAAGTCACAAATTTGCCATAATTCAAATAAGAAACCCTGCCATGCACAGTACGGGCGGATGGAATATTCCTAAGTAGCGAAGTGACTTCAACGTCTTGCACTTCAAAACCTCGTTGCGAGAAAAATTGGCAACTTATTTTATTAAGAGGAGACCGATCAGTTGCAATGTTGTGAGGCTAATTGAGTATCTAAAGAA